GTTATGACTTCGTAGTAGGCGGCGACTATTCGTCACAGGTTCTGGTCTCAACGCGGCTACATCACTCATCCTCGTCCTCACTCCATCCGTCATCGACGCCAACGGCGCTGCGAGCAATATGTGAAGGTAGTAACATGCATAAAATGCACACGAAGTGCGAGCACTGAGTCTGAAGAGGGTCATGGCACAGGAACAGGCTTTCGTGATACGACGTGGCGTATTTGGCTGGTTTAGGAGGGAAATGCGTCGAAGGAGCTTCGCCGGGATACGGTTCGAAGCATGTCATAGTCGACGGCTGCCGGATTTTCGCTTCTGGGTACGATGAGGTCGAAGAGACTGTTGCTCTTGAGCAATCCGCTGGAGGCGCGCACCTCATCGTTTGGGACGTCGAACCGACCAGGCTTGCACAGGCTAGGCAGAGACGGCCATTGAGAAAATGGTTGTTGTGGCGGGGACAAGCGCAACGGGGAGTTCAGCACCGGGGTTTGGAGGAAAACGGAATGAACATCCTGCAGGCGTGAAAACTCGATGAATCCTGAGCCAGCTCTTGGAAAAAAATTCGTCGTCATACCTGGGCACAGAGGAGGTAAATTGAGGGGCGATCGTTGGCTGTCAAATACATGTGACATAGCGGCGTGGGGTATCGTTGAAGCGACGAAGTTTGAGTACGTTGGGTAGGAGGATATGTTGGTGGCGAACTGGTACTTCAGAGCCTCAATGCGTGCCCGATGCGCGTTGTTGCGCCTTCTGAGCTTACCGGTGCTGCCGCCGATGAACACGTCATCGCAAGAGGGGTCCAGCATCCAGTAGTTGCCCTTACCCGGGTCGTCGTAATGCCTCGGCATCTTAATGAAGCATTTGTTAAGACTAAGGTTGTGTCGAATGCTGTTTTGCCAGCCCTGCTTGTTTTCGCCGTAGTATGGAAACGTTTTGATGATGAAGTCGTAAATGCCACTCAGAGTAAGTCGTTTCTCAGGACTTTGTCGAATGGCCATCATGATCAGCGCATTGTAGCTGAACGGTGGCTTCTCGTACTTCACCTTCTTCACGGCCTCATTGTTACTCACCGTCTTATCATTTGCGTCCTGCCCATCATCTCGTTTCTCACAGTACTCCTCCTTCGCCCCGGCCGTCTGATCCGCAGACGTAACTTCCGTGCATCGCTCGACCATTGACTCATCAGAGATGTGCCTTTTTCTGTTGTCATTGGCAGCGAATCCAGACAAGTGAGAAGAATCTTCCGTTTCTACTCTGCAACACTGCACCAAATCAAACGTTTTACCCTTTTGGCTGGCGGTCTCACTTTGCTCCGACGCCTTTGAAACGATCTCCGGAAACATGTGACTGATTGAAAATTTGTAAGGCGTAGAAGCGACGGCTTTTGGTGAGGAAATAACCTCCGGAAGTCGCATCATCGTACAAGAGCCGCGAACCAAATACACGTTGCTTCAGTGATGATGGTATCGGGCAATGTTGTAAACACTCACACCAAAAACACAGGACGTGTCCGTTCTTTCGCCTGGCAGTACCGCTTTTTCTACCTATCCAAGCAAGAACAACGATGCTGTGTCGTGGCGCCTCTCGTAGGATCAGACTGCACGACAAGTTAGACAAAATCAGCGACCAACCAATCAGCGTACGACCTTTCGACTCCGCCCTAAAATAAATCTAGCTAATCGCTTATCGAGTGACAGTTATCCGTATTTAGCGGCCAGCCGGCGGTAGCGGCCGCGGTTGTGTATGACGTCACACGCGCGGTTTACTGTATCAACTGTTCGTTGGTCGGTACATCCGTCCGACCGTCCGTATGTCACTAACCTACTTCTGGTCGCCGAACGGTTCGAGAAGGTTAAGCACATGTTTATACTGAGTGTCGACAGTGATTAGCGGTCGTTTGCAAACAGGTCTATTTTTCTACGCTTTTCTAAAAACCACCCGCTCGTCAATCGGAAGTTTCATTACAGGTTTATTGGCGATTGTGCCGCAGAGCCCCCGGGTCGAGTCGAGCCCCGGGCCGTCGTCGTCGTCGAAACAAGCGAAGCGCGTTTTACGGCGGACCCCAAAGACACGCGGGCATTCGTCGCAGTCAAAGCGAGCCAGCGTCGTTCTTTCCTTGTTTAATGTTGTGCGACCAAGATTTGGGTTTTAAAGTGCCGACCGATGATGACGACCGTGACGACGGTGACGATTGAGTTTTAAAGTGCTGCCGTCTTCATCCTAATCA